CAGACCTCAGGAGCCTTTGGAAGTTACTATTTGGTGTAGTAACATCCAGACTCAACCTCCCTCTTCAAACCTCACATCCGCCCTTTCTTCCTGGACCCCAACCTGGGTGTTGTTACTGGAGTTATTATATTCAAGTTCTTATCCAACTTTCTAGACCTGAAGGAGATCTTCTCCATGTTCTAGAGAAGAACAGGTTTTAAAAACCTATTGTTAAGCTCCATCTTTCCTTAAGAAGTCCTTTCAAGTTTCAGTTCAGCCTTTGAAAAATTTATATATGACTGTGTGTGCTAACTTATAAGAAAAGGTTTCTGCCAAAGTTTTGCTTGAAATCTACTAGCTCAATGGCTCTCTGTAATCAAATATTTCTCCACTTTGAGGGCCAGCCCCAACCATTGACAATATCTCCTGCTCTGAGGAAATGCAAAAATAAGCATTAAAATGGGAAAGCTGTTTAGGCCACCAGGAAATGTGGAAAGCTAAATATGAGCTTTAAGAACAAGTAAAAGCACTTATTTAGCTGTCTACGGACAACAGCCGCTCCCTGGACACGGACAGCATCATCACTGAGGTCAAGGTGCAGTATTAGGAGAATGCCAACTGCAGCCGGGCTGAGGCGGAGAGCGTATGTCAGATCAAGTATGAGGAGCTGCGGTCGCTGGCTGGGAAGCACGGGGATGACCTGCGGCGGACGAAGACAGATCTCCGAGATGAACCGGAGCATCAGCCGGCTCCAGGCTGAGATCGAGGGCCTTAAAGGCCAGAGGGCTTCCCTGGAGGCCGCCATTGCAGATGCTGAGCAGTGCGGGGAGCGGGCACTCAAGGATGCTCATGCCAAGCAGCAGGAGCTGGAGACCGGCCGGCAGCGGGCAAAACAAGACACGGCACGGCAGCTGCGTGAGTACCAGGAGCTGATGAATGTCAAACTGGCCCTGGACATCGAGATCGCCACTTACCGCAAGCTACTGGAGGGCGAGGAGAGCCGGCTGGAGTCCGGGATGCAGAACAGGAATATCCACACGAAGACCGCCGGCGGCTATGCAGGTGGTCTGAGCTCTGCCTATGGGGGCTCATAAGCCCCGGCCTCAGCTACGGCCTGGGCTCCAGCTTTGGCTCTGTCATGGGCTGCAGCTCCTTCAGCCGCACCAACTCCACCAAGGCTGTGGTTGTGAAGAAGATTGAGACCCGCAGCGGGAGGCTGGTGTCCGAGTCCTCTGACTTCCTGCCCAAGTGAACAGCTGCAACAGCCCCTCCCAGCCTGCCCCTCCTGAGGCTGCCCCAGAGCCCAGGAGGGAGGCCGCTGTGCAGGGGAGCACAGGGAACAGGAGACCCACCCGACGCTCAGCCCTAGCCCTGAACCCACCTGCGGGGAGTTTACTGCCTGGGGATCCCCCTTGCCTATGCCTCCAGCTGCAAAACAATTCAATTGCTTTTTTTTTTTTGGTCCAAAATAAAATCTCAGCTGGCTCAGAAACAAACAAACAAAAATACGAACAAGTAAAAACAAATACGCAAAGTTTTCACATCTATAAAGAATCCAACCTAGACTACTTGAGATAGAAATGAGAAAACAAACTTTACTGGGTTTAAATCCACCTGTAGTCCTTGGCTCTGGTCCCTCCTACTGTTTAGGAGGTAGAGGGGTGTGGAAATAAGAAGTGAGTAACATTCTTCTGCAGAACATTGACTACACAACACTGAAGCCATTGCAGGAAGGTTCTCATGATGTTTGAATAGATTCCCAAATGCTCAGAAGACCCTGGCCTGTTGTGAAAGGTAGGACAGGCAAAATATAGCTGGAACCTGGAGAGAGGAGGCTGCTGATGAGCTCCCTGAGACTGCAGTTATGATGTCCCCATCAGGGCCCCTAGTGCTCCTGACAGACTTTGGCTGAGGCTCTAGCAGGCCACCCTCTGGGGCAATCTAGGAGCCTCTACCTGACCCTGGCCTTGGCCTTGAAATCTGGCTTTTGGGGCAAGAACCACAAGTGTCCTAGAACATGTCTGAGTCCCACCCTGCACTGCTTGTGTGACCTCAGGCCCCAGTCCCCTCGGTACAGTAATACCTCATGAACTGTGGCAAGGATTACATGCAAATGTAAGTAACATGCATATGGCTGTGTCTGGCCAGGGAAGCTTCTGATGTTAAGAGGGGGACTGGGACCCCTCTGCAGGCACCGACTGGCAAGATGGGGCTGAGGCACCCTTCCTGTCCCCATGCCTGGCACAGGTGAGCTGGTAGTAAGCAGTGAGAAGTATCAAATGGCAGTTCTCTGGTATTTCCAAGTGAGTTAGAATTGTTATGTGGACTAAATGAAGCAGTCTGAATGAATGCATTTTATAAACTGCAAAATATCCAGTGAACTACTGATAACCAGCCTTGTTTGGGTGCTGTTCATGTGCCAGCATTTTAATGCACTTCTCTTGGCTTGGCAGGGAGGTCACTTGGCAAGTGCCTTAAAGCTGAGCCCTGGTACCTTTCTGAAGCATCAGCAGCCTTTGTAACTGGAACTGACAGGCAACAGCATAGTTGAGGTGGAGCCAGAAGACAGCAACTTTCATCCCTCACCACCCCCTCCCTAGGACAAGCTGGCCTTGACTCATTCTCTGGCAGTCTCAGACCAGCCTAGGACTTCCAAAATTCACTTGGATATTGATTATTAAGGGGGAATTTGCTCCCAGACTGCTGCTTTAAGAGATGGCCAGCTTGCTGGAGTTGTTTCCCAGCCCTGTAAAGCTATGATTGCACTCCTTGCTGAGGAGTCTGTGCCTTGTCGTCAACTTCCTATTCTATTCTGACTTCTCCTTTTCCCCTTTTCTCCTTAAGCCCATGAATACTCCATAAATTCAAAGACAACAGCCAGACAACAGCAAGTGGAAACCTCAGAAAGGAAAGGGTGACATACCAGTCTCTATGTATTGGCCAGTTGTAAGACAAGAACTGCTAGTCCCAGAAAGCCAGGGATTTATTTTGGAAAGCAGAACTGAAGTTGTATATCTTTTGGCTGAGCTACACAGAAGGGAGTGAAGACAGGGCACAAGTGGCTCATGCCTGTAATCTCAGCACTTTGGGAGGCCAAGGCAGGAGGATTGCTTGAGGTCAGGAGTTTCAGACCAGCCTGGGCAACACAGCAAGAACCTGTCTCTACAAAATGTAAAATGAAAATTGACTAGGTGTGGTCGTATGCCCCTCTAGTCCTAGCTAATTAGGATGCTGAGGTGGAAGGATCATTTGATTTCAGGAGTTGGAAGGTGCAGTGAACCATGATTGCACCTCTGCACTCTCTGCCTGAGTGACAGAGAAAGACTCTCTCAAAAAAATAGTGAGTGAAATTGTTTGGTCAAGAAAGTTCCTAATACATCATTCAGAACTGAGCTACCTCCACAGACATGAGCTTCCAATCAAAATTCACTGAACAAAAGATGAAACAAGTGAAAAAGAATGGAAGTTAATGGAAGCCACAAACTGTTGAATCAACCTATTAAGGCTCCAGTGAATGGAATTTTCAGGTATTGAAAGTAGAATGAATACCAAGCAGGAGTAATAAAAAGATATACACATCTTGACACATTGTATCATTGTTTCACAAATTGTAGAATGCCAAAGACAGAGTGAAGACTAAATACAGCCAAATAACAAATACAGATTTCTACAAAGCAAGAGTTCAACTGACAGCTGACCTTTCAACAACAACAGTGGAAGCTAGAATGCAACAGAATAATATGGAAAAATATACAACACAGTGGAAATATATCTTGGAAGTGTGGAGAGAAAATAATTGTCAGGGGAAATTTAAGGTCATTTTCTTTTTTTTTTTTTTTTTTAATTTTTTATTGGATTTTAGGTTTTGGGGTACATGAGCAGAGCATGCAAGACAGTTGCGTAGGAACACACATGGCAGTGTGCTTTTCTTTCCTTCTCCCCTTCACCCACATTTGGCATTTCTCCCCAGGCTATGCCTCCCCACCTCCCCCTCCCACTGGCCCTCCCCTTTTCCCCCCAATAGACCCCAGTGTTTAGTAAGGTCATTTTCTAATAAATCAAATTGACTACTCCCCACTGACCTTCACTAAAGAGACGACTAAAGGGTACATTTCAGAAAGAAAGAAAATTATCTCAGAAGGACAATCTGGGATGTAAGAATATCTTCATGACTCAAAATAGAGAAGAATTTCTTAAACTTGATAAAAAATATGATAAAGAAACAGATTGACATACTCAACAGCATTAAAATTATGGGCTTAGTTATCAAAGGAAACCATGAAGTATGTGCATGCTAGCAGCATAGATTTGCAATGTTTATGACAGTCCAAGAAATCCGCACTATTAGCAAGAATTCCTATGAATCAATAAGAAAAAGAAAAATCTATTTTAAAATATTTCACTGACAAAAAAACTTTATAGAGGAGAAAATATTAATGGCTAATGAATATACAAAAATAAGTTCTATGTCATTAGTAAACAATTCCACAGTGTCAGTGAGCAACTGGGAATGTGCCACAGCATGATGTGAGGTTAGTGGGGTAGGGGATATGGTTCACTGAGGACTCCAGGTCATTTTTAAAGAAACAGTCACTACTCATTCCAGCCTACTCTGGCCTGAGAAATGGGTACACTGTGGCCAGAACCATGGATTTTTAAAGAAATGTCCAAAATCTGGACTTTTTTCATGTGAAATATCCTGTTTTAAATGTTGACAACTTATTCAGAATTGTTTAAAAGTGTATATGCCAATACTGCTTGAGCCAAGAAGGCACATTCACAGGCCAGACTTGGCCAAGAGTCCCTCTGTTCACAATCTCTGCATTAACCCCTTGAATTTTCTATCAATAGGACCTGACTTTACCGTGACTCGGAGGGGCCAAACTGACTTCCCCATTTCTCTCTTGGTTCCCTCCTCACTTCACCTGAGCTTTTAACTAGAGACAGAAAAGAGACGCCCTGCAAAGGGAAACATGCTCCACACTAGCTAATGAAGCTCCTTTTATGCTTTTATCTTCCAGATATTTGGGTTCTGGGTCTGGATCCTGGTAGCTGCCACCCAGGTAGCAAACCCATTGCTGCAAGGATGGGTGATGTATGTCTCAGTCACCTCGTTTCTCATCTCCCTGATGTTCCTTTTGTCTTACTTGTTTGGATTTTACAAAAGATTTGAATCCTGGAGAGTTCTGGTAAGAACCAGCAGCATGGCTCCTCCTGGGTGGACGTCCTGGGTTGGGTGAGGACAATTGGTCTTTCCGGGCAAATAGGGATACTGGGCTAGGCTCCTGTGGAACCAAGACTTTTTATCTTAATATGTTTACTACCAGGCCAAAATGAAGACATTTCTCTGCAAGAGAAAAACTTTCCTTGTATTCCCCTTCACTGCCTTCCCTGTTAGGAGAATTTACAGTGCCTTGTGATAAAGCATATTCTGTTGTGTTTCCCCTAAATTTTCTTCCTGGTAAAATCCTTGGAGAAACACTGAAGAAAACGCTAGTAGGAAAAATATTACTCTAGTCTCAAGGCTCTATCACAATCTGTGACAAATTATTTCTTCCATATCCCAAATGAATTTTATATGTATATATAAATTATACTCTACAGATAATTTTGGATGTAGATGCTTTCATGTAATATTACATCATTAGTTTTTATGTTGTTGTATCATCTCAAAAAACCATTTAAAAGTATTCCATACTGAACAATTGAAGACATATTTAAAAGTACAGAATATTGTATTATAGCCCTTCATGTAGCCATAACCCAGATTCCAGTATTATCAAGATCTTACCACATTAGTTTCATCTAGCCTGTTTCCCTACTAAGGAATATTAAAGCAAACTCCAGACATCATGTCATCCTATTCCACATGCTTCCGTATGTTTCCAAAAAAACCCACAAACTTTCTCACATTATCACAGATATACAAAGTTAACAATTCCTCAGCATACCTAAGACAGTATACAGTGGTTCCCCCTATCTCTGGAGGATAAGTCCCCAGACCCCCAGGGAATGGCTGAATTCTCAGATAGTACTGAACCTCGATTATACTATGCATGCACTTCTCTTTCCTTCTTTACAATTTAACAGATAGACAATTCATTCTTACTGTAGATCTTAACGATCTCAGCGTATTTTTTTCTTTCCTTATTAAGTTGAAAGCTTTCACTTTTTCACTTAAAGAAAGCACTCTATGACTTCTCTTTGGCACATCCAAATTGCAAGCATCACTACTCTTGCGATGTGGGGCTATTATGAAGTAAAATAAGGATTCCTTGAATGCAAGCATTGCAGTACCACAACAGTTGATCTGATAGCCTATTCACTTTGTAGATGGCTACAAAGTGAATAGCATGGATGGCATTGGCAGTGTGGATGTGCTGGACAAAGGGATGATTCAGGTCCCAGGAGGCACAGGGTAGAACAGCATGAGATTTCATGATGATACTCAGAAAGACACACATTTAATTGTTAATTTCTGGAATTTTTCATTTAACATTTCAGACCAAGATTGACACTAGAAAACCAAAACATACTGATCTTTATTAATCTGCCATTACTTACAACATAGATATTACATTTAAAACACAGTGTATTAATCTATTCTCACACTGCTATAAAGAGCTACTTGGGACTGGATAAATCCTAAAGAAAAGAGGTTTAATTGACTCATAGTTCCTCATGGTTATGAAGGCCTCAGGAAATTTGCAATCATGGTGGAAGGTGAAGGGGAAGCAAGGTACGTCTTACATGGCAGCAGGAAAGAGGGAGGAGGGGAATGTGTCATACTTTTAAACCATCAGATCCCTTGAGAACTCATTCATCATCATGAGAACAGCATAGGGGAAACTGTCTTCATGATCCAATCACCTCCAACCAGGTCCTTCCCTTGATACATGTGGATTACAATTGGAGATGAGATCTGGGGAGGGACAAAGTACCAAACCATATTATTAAGCCTTGGGCCCCTCCCAAATCTCATGTCCTTACATTTAAAGACACAATCATGCCTTCCTAACAGTCCACCAAAGTTTTAACTTATTCTAGCATTAACCCAAAAGTTCAAGTCCAAAGCCTCATCTAAGACAAGAGAAGTCTCTTCTGCCTGTGAACCTGTAAAATCAAAAGTAAGTTAGTAATTTCCAACACACAATGAGGGTACAGGCATTGGGTAAATGCTTCCATTCCAAATGGGAGAAATTGGTCAAAACAAGGAGTCTCCTGGCCCCATGCAAGTTCAAAATCCAGCAGGGCAGCCATTAAATGTCAACACTCCAAAATCTCCTTTGACTTCATGTCTCACATTCAAGTCAGACTGTTTCAAAGGGTGGGCATCTAAGGCCTTGGGCAGCTCCACCCCTGTAGCTCTGTAGAGTACAGTCCCTGCAGCTCCTTTCACAAAGTGGTGTTGAGTGCCTGTGGCTTTTCCAGGTGTCTGGTGCTAGCTGTCAGTGGACCTACCATTCTGGGGTCTGAAGGATGGTGGCCCTCTTCTCACAGCTCTACTAGGCAGTGTTGCAGCAGGGACTCTGCATGGGGGCTCTGACACCACATTTTGCTTCCACATTGCCCTAGTAGAGGTTCTTCACAAGGGCTCCACTCCTGCAACAGACTTCTGCCTAGACATCCAGGCATGTTCATACATCCTCTGAAACCTTGGCAGAGGTTCCAAAACCTCACTTCTTGCCTTCTGCACACCTGTAGGCTCAACACCATGTGAAAGCTGCCAAGGCTTGGAGCTTATATCCTCTGAAGCAATGTCCCAAGCTGTACCTTGGCCCCTGCTACTGTAGCTGGAGCAGCTGGGATGTAGGGTGTTGTATCCCAGGACTGCACAGAACAACGGCCCTGAGCCTGATCCACAAAACCAATTTTCCCTCCTAGGTCTCTGAACCTGTGATGGGAGGGGCTGCTGTGAAGATCTCTGAAATGCCCTAGAGATATCTTCTCCATTGTTTAGAGGCCCCTCATTACTTATGCAAATTTCTGCAGCTGACAGCTTGAATTTCTCCAAAGAAAATGTGTGTTTTTTTTTTCTACCACATGGTCAGGCTGCAAATTTTTCAAACTTTTATGTGCTTCTTTTCTTTTAAACATAAGTTCCAATTTTGGACCATCTCTTTGTGAATGCATATGATTGTACAGTTTCAGGAAAAGTCAGGTCATATCTTGAATGCTTTACTGCTTAGAAATTACTTCTGCCAGATACCACAACTCATCTTTCTTAAGTTCAAAGTGCCACAGATCTCTCGGGCAGAGGTGTAATGCCACCAGTCTCTTTGCTAAAGCATAGCAAGAATGACCTTTATTCTAATTCCCAATAAGTTCCTCATCTCCATCTGAGACCAGCTCAGCTTGGATTTCATTGTCCATATCACTATCATCATTTTGGTCAAAATCATTCAACAAGTCTCTAGGAAGCTCTAAACTTTTCCACATCTTCCTGTCTTCTTCTGAGTACTCCAAACTGTTTCAACCACTGCCCATTACCCAGTTCCAAAGTTACTTCTACATTTTCAGTTATCTTTACAGCAGTACCTGACTTCCAGTACCAGTTTTCTATATTAATCTATTTTCACTGATATAAAGAACTACCTGAGACTGGGTAATTTATAAAGAAAAGAGGTTTAATTGGCTCACAGTTATGCATGGCTTGGGAGGTCTCAGGAAAATTACAATCTTGATGGAAGGTAAAGGGGAAGCAAGGCATGCCTTACATGGTAGCAGGAGAGAGAATGAGAGAGGGGAAATTTCACACTTTTAAACCATCAGATCTTATGAGAACTCTCTCACTATCACAAGAACAGCATGGGGAAACCACCCCCATGATCCAGTCATCTCCCATCACATCCATCCCTCAACACATGGGGATTACAATTTGAGATGAGATTTGGGTGGAGACACAGAGCCAAACCAAATTACACTGCAGAAAAAAAAAATCAGGAGTCTGGGGGCTGGCTGCCTTGTTTGCTCATTCTTTACAGCTATGTAGCCAGAGAGGAAAGTGCACCCCTGAGTGACATGTCCATGTATGGCTCTACTCTGCGTTTCCAGGACAGCCTATACCATGGGACCACTGGCATCCTGTACATGAGCGCTGCCGTCCTGCAAGTACATGCCACAATTGTTTCTGAGACCCTGGACCTGAAAAACTACTACATTAACACAGCAGCCTCGGTGAGTGGGCTTGCCATGGACAGCAGTTTTGGCCAAAGGATGTCTAGTGCAGGAGGCTGTCTCTGCCTTGTGCTGTATAGACCCTGAGCCCTCAAGTGGAAGGAGCCATGAAGGCAGGGGAAAGGGATGTGTGTCCCTATAAACACATGCACCCACCTTCAGGGGTCCTCTCTTACTTACTATCCTTCCCACACCCAGCTTTCCTCTCTCTTAGACCCCCTACACTGTCTGCAGAGTTTTTTTTTTCCAAAACACAAATTGGAACAGGTGTCACTCTCCTACTGAAAATCCTTCAATGGCTCCCACTGCCTTTGGAAAGGGACCCACATCCCTCAGCATGACTGAACTATTCCAGTGTTCTTTGTGTCAATCACAGTAGCCTACAGGAGTAATGTACTGGCTGCAGGACCCCAGGTGAGGTGGTCCAGCCACAGGGTGGTGAGAGCAGGCTCCCCAGGCTGCAGGTCCCCTGGAGCCTCCCAAGTCTGCCTCTCACCAGCCAGCTCTCCTCTCCTTCCCTTGAAGGATGGTGCCGTCACATGGCAGAGAGCTCACAGCGATACATTCCTCCTTTGGAATGTGTATTAGTCCATTTTCACGCTGATAAAGACATACCCGAGACTGAGCAATTCACAAAAGAAAGAGGTTTATTGGACTCACAGTTCCACATGGCTGGGGAGGCCTCACAATTATGGCAGAAGGCAAGGAGGAGCAAGTTACATCTTACATGGATGGCAGCAGGCAAAGAGAGAGCTTGTGCAGAGAAACTCGCATTTTTAAATCCGTTAGATCTTGTGAGACCCATTTACTATCACAAGAACAGCACAGGAAAGACCCACCCCCATGATTCAATAATCTCCCACTGGGTCCCTCCCACAACATGGGGGAATTATGGGAGCTACAAGATGAGATTTGGGTGGGGACCCAGAGCCAAGCCATATCAGAGTGGCCTGACCTTCCTGAACCCTACCTTGAAAACTTCCAAGGAAGGACTCCAACACCAAGGCTACATTTGTTCCCATCCCTGGATGAGTCACTGTGGCCAGAAGATCCCATGTCAGCCTGGTCGCTCTTGCAGGCTCATGTGGCTATGGCAGGAGGAAGAGGTACATGGTGGGGTGTTGTCATGAGAGTAAGGATTCAGTTCCAGGGAGCACTGTGACCCTCTGGGGTGGTCACAAGATATTTCAGCTGCCTTCCAGCCTGTCTGCCTCCCTTCGCTCCTCATCAAGTGAGTTTAACTTCCTAAACTTGCAAGTCCAGCAATGGCCCCTTGGGCCCTCCATGGCCCAGCCTGTCCCCAGCATAGCCCCCTGCTGCTCACCTAAGGTCAGCTGCCCCCAGCTACATCTCCCTCCTGGCTGTCTTTGAGCACACAGATATGCGCTTATGTGGGACCTTGGCAGGGGTAACTGCCTGGTGGCTCCTGCCTCCTTCAGTCTTCTTGACAGGGCCTTCTCTGATGCCCCCTCCCCTGAGACCTTGGCATTCTACTTTCCCCTTCCTTGCTTCATCTTGTCCCGCCCTTACCTCCCTCTGGCCCGTGTATGTGCTACTTATCTATCTTGTTGCTGCTTCTTATCTCTCAAATGTAAGCTCCATGAGGGCAGGAATTTTTGAATTTTTTTTTCACTGTTATAGCCACAGTTCTTGAAGGAAAGTAGGTGCTTGAAAAATACTTGTTGACTGACTGACTGAATAAGGAGCATGTGAGTGAACAGTGGGGCAGATTGGGGCTGGGATAGTTGGCAGGGCCCAAAAGGTGTTGAAGGTGGTGGCCCCTACCCTGAGAAAAGCAGAGCCATCACACAGCTTCAACACGGTCGTGTGTTCTCCCTATGAGTGAGAAGTGTCCTTGCTTGTCCACTTCCGCCTGCTCTGCCCAAATCATGGAGCAAATTCAAGGGGCAGGGCAGGCAGAAGTAAGGCCATGAGGAGTCCTCATGAGGGATGCTGGTGGCTGAGACAAGGGAGAACTGCATGTCCCAAGAGCTAGGCAAGGAACTCAGTAGCATTTGGGGTGGCTTTGCACATGGCTGACAAGGGAGGCTGGAGCAGTCGAGGGCCACAGGTGTCAGACATGGAGAGCAGGGTGAGAGGAGGACCCTGGGGCCCACTGGGCTTGTGAGGCTTGTGAGGAAACATCAGGGGCTCAGTGTGAGCCAGGAAGAGCTGGAGGAGGTCTGAACATTCACAGAAAGCTGACAAGCAGCCACTGAGAGCAAGCCAGTGAGTGGAGCTGTAGGGGTGGTCAGAGCAGGGGTTTGCTGGAGGTGGACAGAGGAGAGTGGGTCTTGGGCAGGAGGTCAGTGTGGGATGTGGGCCCAGGGCCAGGGTGGAGGTGAGCCTGCTTCACAGACAGGTGCAGATGAGATGGAGACTGCAGTCGGGGCAGGACAGCAGGATGGCCCCAGGGAGGCCCTGATAGGAGATGGCCAGGGGTTGCAGCCCTCAGGCCAGGCAGGAGGAAAGGAAACAGGGTCATGTGCGGCCTCCTGGGCAGTGGGGCTGAGGATCCCTGGGAAAAGGGCAGGAGCTGGTACTGCTGTCTCTAACAGTCACTCTCCGTCTCCTTCCAGTTCTTCGCCTTTGTCACCACGCTGCTCTACATTCTCCATGCCTTCAGCATCTATTACCACTGACACACAGGTGCCCGGCCAAGGGGAGAAATGCTCTTTGAAAGCCCTGATTATTGGTCCCCCAAAACAGCGTCCAACAATTGCCATCCGGATGATAAATAGAAGATCCACTAAAAGGTCCACGGGATAAACAGAGCATCCTTGCAGACTGAGCGATGTCACACTTTGTTTGGACATTTAAATTCACTCTACTGAATAGAAGGAAGCTTTTGTTTTATTTTTTTCTGGGAAAAAAAAACTGTCTTTTGGAATTATCTGACCATGAACTTGCTCTTCTAGAAAACTCACATCAGAGCCCTCACCATTGAGAATCCCAATGCCACTAATGTCAAGCCTGTTTGGGGATTTTGCCTCAGCTGTGGCGTTCCCTAGAGTAGGTTCAGGGAGAATATTCAGTCTGATTCTCTTATAATTGAAGCGGTGCCGCCAAGGCCTTCAGATGTAATGCAGACGCACAGACCTTGTTCCTGATACTTGTTCATTCAGCCTGTACTTGGGAGCCATGGTCCTGAGTTCCCAGGTAGGCTGACAGGGTCAAGCCACCCTGCCCACCCCGTTCTCACTTCCCCTCCCCTTTCCTCTCCAGCATTGGGATCCAAGGAAAATCTACAAGAAGCCAATTTTGAGGGTAGATTTGTGGGGGAAATAAATCATTATACAGTAAGACCTGGGGTTTGAGGGGTGGGGAGTGGAGAAGGATGGGCATAGCCTTGCTCTTCCATGAGTCTGACATCTCAGAAAATGTGCAGCTGCCGGATGCCTGGGTCTGGACTCAAGACACCACCTTTAGGGACTGCAAGATGCCAGGTTCCTCAGAAAATACCCTCAGGGAACAAGTAAAAAATGTTTGGTCTATGGATTCTCCTGGCACAACCACATTGGAAGAAAAGGCTGCTGCATCATCTCAGTGGGGAGTGAAGGACCCATGTCCCGGGTACCGAGCTCCTCCACCTGCACTCACCCCCCTCACATCCTTTTAAGCACCCCATGGCCCTCTGAGGCCTGGCATAATGGTGGTGCCCATTGGGTTGGACCAGGGCTCACGAGTACCTCGAATGGCAAAGTTGTGCACACTGAAATATCAAATCAAGGTGCTTGGTTGTTTGTTTTTTTTTTAAGTTCAAACTCATTTCCCTTTTATTAAAGTACAGGTTACCATTACATGGCTTGGTACTCAATAAAGGAAAATTTGTTCAAATAAGGTAATATGTTATCATCAGTATTTCCAGGTGACTGTTTACACTCAAGTAACAATATCAATAAATCCTTGGGAAGCCCATCCATGGGGTTTACACTTTGTCAAGGCCCAGTTCCTCTGGAGTGGAGATTCCCAGTTCATTTAAAGTTGGTCTAAGTTCCTGGATGACATATGCATAGATTTCCTTATGAGGTCCTGCTTTGTCCTCAACAGCCTCTAGGATGCGAACTGTACTAGCAAAATCATTTGCCAGGCGTGGTGGCTCAAGCCTGTAATCCCAGCACTTTGGGAGGCCGAGGCGGGTGGATCATGAGGTCAAGAGATCGAGACCATCCTGGTCAACATGGTGAAACCCCATCTCTACTAAAAATACAAAAAATTAGCTGGGCATGGTGGCACATGCCTGTAATCCCAGCTACTCAGGAGGCTGAGGCAGGAGAATTGCCTGAACCCAGGAGGTGGAGGTTGCAGTGAGCCGAGATTGTGCCATTGCACTCCAGCCTGGGTAACAAAAGTGAAACTCTGTCTCAAAAAAAAAAAAAAAAAAAGAAATCCAAGATGACAAAATCTGTTCCCCACTGTGGTCAGCTCATGATACGTGTAGCCAAATGCACTGCACCCTGGTAGAAGTACTCTTTCTCACCTTCCACTTCCTCCAAAAGCCCACCAGGGCCTTCCCTTCAATGCCTGGTTCTCCCTTAGGCCCGATCCAGAGACTCTACTTCCAAAATGGACCTGTAATTGTTCTTCTTCCTCCTACCTCCCAGGCCCTGCCCATGCCCTCATCACTGGGTATTGCAAAATCTGCACCCCAGAGTCAGGCAGCATCTCCAAGGACTTGTAGTCAGTCTCTCAGCCATGGTCAGATTCTACCCATCTGTGGCCCCTAATCCTTCCCTGCCCTCAGGGTAAAGTACAAACCTTTTGGAAAGTGACCTCCCAGGCCTTGATTGCAAGTATGTCCTTGCCTTATGTCCAGCTACATGTCCTACCACCCCCATCGCCCAGCCCTGATGGAACAGTGTCAGCATGGCAGCTGTGGCCAGCTCAGCCCTGGGGTTGCATCCATGCACACGGTGGACATTCTATTCCCTCTCCCTGGGGATATGAAGCTGTCTTCTTGTCTCATTTCATCTACGTGAAAAAACTCTTTTTATCTTTTTATCTCAAAGTCTTTCTCAAACCCCTCACCCTTTCATACAGTTAATCATTGCCTCCTTGGGTACCTCTGCCCCCGGGTGTGTGCTGTGCTGTGCTGTGTTACCCCTCATGCAGTGCTGGTCTGTCCCACAAGACTATGAGATGCCATGGGCAGGAATTCTTGGATGTCTCATTAATTCTTGGATGTTTTTATCATCTTTGCCTTTCCCTATGCCCAGCACCCTTCCCTGACCCCACCAACCTCAGCTCTGAGTGCTCTGCTCACACTGTTGACAGGAATGGGGATTTGCAAAAGCCACAGCCAGGCTACAGGAATGGATGACGTGGCTGACTCTTAAGCTCTCCTAGTCTTCACCACCAAGCCACAGTCTACATCTCAGGGGAAAGGGGTGGTCTCTGCTTCTTTCCCTTTTTTCTTGGCCTGCACTATGGTGGATTAGCTTCTTTTACTCTAGATTCCCATCTGTACAAAGAGGAAGAGACTGGCCTGCCACCGCCAGGACCTAGTCCAGTTTTGGTGGCCCTGCAGGGCCATGTACCATGCAGAGGCTGCCCTGGCTTTAGGGAAGGCTGGCTAGCTGTGGAAGGTTCCAGCTTGATTCCAGGCCACCCCTGGCTATGGGCCCAGTAGGGCCCAGCACTAGTAGGTGTTGACTTAAAAGGAAGAGGTTGAGGCACAAAATATAAAGAGTTTACTTGACCCAAAGTGAGGACAGCTGCCTGCAAGACACAAGTAAGCTTGGAAATGAGCTTCATCGGGTTTTTGTTACAAGCCGTTTTTTAAAGGCAAAAGTGGGGGACAAGAAGTGAGTTGATTTAAATCCATCAGGAATTCTCATTGGTTTATAGAAATAACATTGAGGTCAGGCATGGTGGCTCACACCAGTAATCCCAACACTTTGGGAGGCCGAGGCTGGCGGATCACTTGAGATCAGGAGTTTGAGATCAGCCTGGCCAACATGGTGAAAACCCATCTCTACTAAAAACACACAAAAAATTAGCCAAGCATGGTGGCGTTTACCCAGTTACTCAGGAGGCTGACACAGGAGAATTGCTTGAACCAGGGAGGCAGAGGTTGCAGTGAGCTGAGATGCACGCCACTGCACTCCAGCCTGGGGGACAGAACAAAACACCATCTCAAAAAAAAAAAGAAAAGGAAAAAAAAAATGACATTGGCTGTACATTGTTAGGTTATACTGAGTGGTTTATAGTGCCTGGTGTGGCTTTATTAGGTTAATTAAAGCTCCTTGTTGTTAGCAAGCAGTTTTAGGAGATGAATACATAGCTCGAGAGTTGATTACTGTCTCATTTTATTGTCTCTCTAGGCCTCATAATTTAAAAGGACTCTCATTCCTCAGATAAAAGTTCTTTTCTTTCTTCATAGTGCTGATAAAAATGCGTTAAGTGCCCCCAGAGCCCCAAAGACCTGTGTATGGGGGACCTCTTCTGAGGGGACTGCTAAAACAATGCCTCCAAAAGTGTCAGAGCCAAACTGGAGAAGCAGGTGCATTTGAGGGACAGGAGTGGCAACTGTCCCCTCTAAGTGAGATGGATCAGGGGTCTTCATACTCCCCCTGGAGGAAGCCCGAACTGGCTGGAGCAGCTCTCCTCAGGCCACCTCCTTCCTCTGCCTTTGCTTGTTATGTGAAGACTGACATTGTGACTTATAATAAGAAATGGAGCTCCTACAATCCTTGGAATCTCCAAAATGATATATGCCTTTTTGTAACTAATGAGATGACTAGGGGGATGGGGGCTCCTGGGTGGCCTCAGGATGGCACTGGTTGACAGGGAAACCAACCATGTGATTAGACAGTTGAAATATTCAAGCCTGGCTGACCACTGACTTCTGGTTTGGGAGAGGAGCTGGAGATGAAGTTAATCACCAGTGGTCAATGATTTAATCAATTATGCCGACAAAGTGAAGCCTCCATTGAAACATGCCGACATCGTGACTGTCCATACATTGTTCAAAGCCAACCTGTTTCCTTCATCAGCAGCTGCTGTGTGGTATGTATCCAGATCTCTAGAAGCTTACAGGGGCACCTTGACCTGCCCCAGCTCCCACCCTCCCTCTTCAAGGCCCTAGAAAACGAATTTACACAGGTGTTTCTCACACCCTAGGCCCTGTTATTTGGCTCCACCTGCTGCTGAAATTCTGCCCCTGGGTCTGAGGAGGGGCTTCCCCAGCGAGGAACTGACTCCCACACTCTGGGGCACATGTCCTTCTCTCCGTGCCTCAGTTTACTTATCTGTGGATTGATGGACATACACAGATCTCCTCCAAGTCCCTCCCAGGTCACTACAACCTCCTAGAGGGGCAGAGTGCACCACCCGGCCACTTTCATGCAGTGAAAGGGCAGATCATGAGGCCCGAGTCAAACCCCTCCCTTTTTTTTTCTTTGCATTGGAGTTTCGCTCTTGTTGCCCAGGCTGGAGTGCAATGGTGCGATCTTGGCTCACTGCAACCTTTACCTCCCAGGTTCAAGCCAGTTTCCTGCCTCAGTCTCCCAAGTAGCTGGGATTACAGGCATGCTCCACCACACCCAGCTAATTTTTTTTTTTTTTTTTTTTTTTTAGCAGAGACGGGGTTTCTCCATGTTGGTCAGGCTGGTCTCGAACTCTCGACCTCAAGTGATCTGCCTGCCTCAGTCTCCCAAAGTGCTGGGATTACAGGGGTGAGCCACCATGCCTGGTCTTTTTTTTTTTTTTTTTTTTTTTTGGTTTTGTTTAAACAGGGTCTTACTCTGTTGCAGAGGCTGGAGAGTAGTGGCTAGATCATAGCTCACTGCAGCCTTGGCCTGTGAGGCTCAAAGGATTCTCCCACCTCAGCCTCCCGAGTAACTGGGACTACAGGCATGTGCCACCACCCTTACTAATTTTTGTATTTTTTGAGGAAACAGATTTAGCCAGGTTGCCCCACCCACCTTTCTAATTTTTGTATTTTTTGTGGAGACAGATTTGGGCATGTTGCCCAGGCTGGTCTCAAACTCCTAGGCTGAACCATCTGCCTGCCTCAGAGTGCTGGGATTACAGGCATCCATGCCCTGTCCTGGGGTCCCTTCCTTATCAGGCTCCTTTGGTGTGGATTCAGGAAACACAGATGTGGGAGAGGCTGAGATCTTATGGAAAGGGTACAACCCTGGGGGCACATGCCTGCTGGGACAGCCATGATGTTTGGTTTCAGCTGGAAAAATTAGTTCTGTAGCATGCATGTCTGCCCTGGGACAGGCCCTCCTGCTTTCAAGAAACCGGAAGGCCAGGAGCGGAATGAGACAGACCTAGAGGCCTCACTTCTTAGGGTGAGGGGTCACTGGCCCCAGCTGAAAGTGGAGCAGAGGGGAGGGGAGGGACTTATTTGGGGCCTCCTAGAAAGTGTGACCTCCTGAAGGTTACTAGAATGATTGATAGTCAAGCACATGGATCCCTCTGGTTCAGGATCACCCTGTTGGAGCTCTGGAGGATGAAGGGAGCTTGGTCAGGGAGTACACTGGGAACAGCATGAGGAAGGGCACCGGCACAGCAGCAGCCAGCTGGCTGGTGACTGGCAATAGGGCCTAGGCTAGGGTCCAGCTCACAGGGATTGGCTGTTGCTGTGACTTCCTGCAGGGAATGGGGAGCTCTAAGTAAGGTGGGGATTTAAGCCGTGAGTGGCAGATCCTTGTGCCTGCACTGGCCACCTGGGAGGGTGGCCACTGCAGGGAGGTGACCTGATTCTCTTTGGTGGTTGTGTCCTTCTCAAGAATCTGTGTACTTTGAATTCACTAAGAACTAAACATTGCCATTTTGGGTCCACATCAGGATACATATGGAGATAATTATACTTTTTATTAGGCTTAGTA